TTCTGCTTTTACCTTGGATCCTAGAGGTGATGTATAGCCATTCTGGCTAGTAGCCACTGAGGGGCCTTGTTAGCCATGAATTTATTCAGTGCTCTTTCAAAGCCATCTAAGTCAACAGCATCTTGTGGCAGTGGGTTCCACAGTCTCTAACTAAGGGGCCCATCATGGTCCATCCAGTTCTCTTCTCCTGCTCAGGTATAGTTAGTGTTAGCCACGGTGTCTGATTCATATATCATGACCAACAATAAAAAGAAGAAAGTGAAAGAAGAAGCAAAGTGTGCTTCAAATATATACCACCCCACAGCGCTTAAAGCACTGTGGTAAGTTTACAAGTTAATTATGCAACCTACCTATTGCTCAAGGAAGCCTTGTGTATGTTTTTTTGTTTTTTTTTTGAGGAAAGAAAATCTAAATGGAACAAAGGCGTCAACAGTCTCAACCATCCTTGGACATGCATCCAATAGGAATGGTGTCTTTTACACCTTTACAGGCCAAACAGAGATTCCTAAATTACCCATTATCCCCGAAAATCAGCTGTCCTGGCTGGAGCTGCTAGGAGTTGTCATCAGTAACATGAAGGAGGGAATCCGTAGGTCCTCGGCTCCTGTGATGAGTCTTTGGCAGGACAGATCCTATTCTCTTTTGAGCCTTTTTGTGTTATTTACTTCAGGATTCCTCTCGAGATATCCGGGAAGCTCTTCATGAGCTGCTCTGTTGTACCAACGTGTCAACGAAAGAAGGCATCCACCTTGCCCTGGTTGAGCTCCTGAAAAACCTCACCAAGTACCCTACAGACAGGGACTCCATCTGGAAGTAAGCACTGTTGTTGTTGTTTTCAACATAGTAAATATGATGACGGCAGCATGTGGTCGTGGAACACCAGGGATAAAAGTACTTTTATATCGTTCACGAGTTCAGATGGTAGGAATGTGGTGGCGCTGCGGGTTAAGCCGCAGAAGCCTCTGTGCTGCAAGGTCAGAAGACCAGCAGTCATAAGATCCAATCCACACGATGAAGGGAGCTCCCATGGCTTGTCCCAGCTCCTGCCAACCTAGCCGTTCGAAATCATGAAAATGCAAGTAGATAAATAAGGACCACCTTGGTGGGAAGGTCATGGTGTTCCGTGTCTAGTTGCGCTGGCCATGTGGTCATGGAAACTGTCTTCGGACAAATGCTGGCTCTATGGCTTGGAAATGGGGATGAGCACCGACCCCTAGAGTCGGACACGACTGGACTAAATGTCAAGGGGAACCTTTACCTAGTTCAGATGGTGAGCGTTGGTTGCTATTTGGGGCAGGCAATTTTCAATCAGTCACCAGAATTTCTAATGACTTTCTAAGGATACCCTTTGCTGAACTGCCTGTTGCCCTTGCTGGTTGAAGAGAATGGGGAGTGGCGTCTGATATCTCAGAAGAGTGGCATTCCATGTGCCAAATATCGGCTGAAAACTTGTTACTTAGCATCGTAAATCGCACTTGAGTCAGCCCATTGGATCACAGGGATTTGATGACTCAGCTGCCCCATACGTTCCAGTAATTTCTATGGGTCTACTTGTGATTTACTGCACCAAAGTAAATTGCAACTAGAGTAGGCCTACTTTAGTAAGAGGAACTGATAATGGAGTAGACTCACCAAATCCCCACTAATTCAGTAGGCCTATACTAGTGTGACTTACGAAGCAGAAAGATTTTAGTCATTGTATAATCTTGCTAGTGTAATTTAAAAAAAAAACACATACACACAAAACTGCCGGGTAGACAGCTTGGTGGTTTAGGGATCTGGCTGCAAAACCAGAGGTTGGGAGTTTGATTTCCCCCCCCCCCAAGGGGAAGAGCCAGCCTGGGTAGCCTTGGGCATGCTGCACAGTCAAAGAGTGCCACTAGAAGAAGGGAATGATAAAAATCAGTTCTGAGTTACCCGTATCTAAGAAACCTGAGAGTCACCATAAATTAGAATTAAGTTGATTGTATATGATTTATGACTACCTTAAAGATCTATTATTAAAGCAATAATATAGTTGCTTTGGTAGCATGAAAAGCGTAGATTAAGATGTTGGTTCGCAAATGTGGACCCCAGTTGTTCTTGGGCTACAGCTTCCAGAAGCCCCAGCCACCACAGCCAATGTCCAGGGCTTCTGAGGGTGGTGGTGGTTGAGATCCAAGATCATTTGGGGTCTCAAGGTTGGGAACCATGGGCTTCAAATCAAGAGTACCTCACATTGCTCCTTACCTGGTTAGTTTTGAGAATCTTTGCTGTTTTTGAGTTCTCATGAAAGAGGACCGCTTCCAGTTCTGGGCACAACACTTTAAGAAGGATGTCAACCAACGGGGACAAGTTTAGAAGGGGGGGGGAAGGATGATCTGGGAACTGGAAACCAAGCCCTAGGAGGAAAGACTGAAAGAACTGGGCATGTTTAGCCTTGAAAAAAGAAGACCAAGGGGTGACAGGCTTTCAATATTTGAAAGGCTGTCCTACAGAGGAGGGAGGAGGATCTGTTCTCGATCCTCCCAGAGTGCAGGACATGCAACCATGGGCTCAAGGGACAGGAAGCCACCTTTGGGCTGAACATCAGGAAAAACATCTTAACTGTTAGAGAAGTGCAACGATGGAAGTTTTCTGTTAGAGCAGTACGACGATGGAACCCATGACCTCAAGCGGTGGTGTACGCTCCTACGCTGGAGGCCTTTTAGGGAAAATGGGACCTCTGTCTGTCCGATCTGCTGGGATTTGGATTCCTGGCTTGAGCAGGGGGTTGGATTGGATGGCCTCAGAGGCCCCTTCCCACTCTGTGATTCTAGGATTTTTCAGCTTTTCCAGGTTTCACCCTTTTAAATTCATCCGTTGCAGGTGCTTGAAGTTCCTGGGAGGCCGGCATCCGACCCTGGTGCTTCCTCTTGTCCCAGAACTGCTGGGCACCCACCCTTTCTTTGACACCCCAGAGCCTGATATGGACGACCCAGCCTGTATCCTTTCTGTGCCCTCCCCGGGTTCTGACTGATGCTCAGGCTGAATATGGAGATAAGAGGTTGGCAAAAGTTACATTTGGGGGGGTCTATAGCTGACCAAAATATCCAACCTTCATAACCTGTCATCAAAAGAATTAATTTTTTGCAAGCTCTGGGTGTAAAGGAGCCGTCCTTTGCTAGCTGATGGTAAAGCAGAATCAGAAACTGTGGATTAATCTGGGTTTGTAAAGCAAGGTTGGTGTGTTGGCTGTAGCGATTGCTCTGCCGGACGAGGGCTTAGCAGACTTGAAAAGGAAGCTGTAAACCACAGTTTACCTAATCGTTGTCTAGCAAATCAAACTATCCTTCACTGGTGCGACCTCAGCATTTTCCAACAGCTATCCAAGCCTTGTTGAACTAGACATATAGATGGCATGGATTTCATTATATCTTTTTATTATCATTTAAATAACACAATGTTCAATGTCTTTTTAAAAAAAGTTTTGACACAGTCATAATTGGATCATTTATCATAGGAGCTGGTACTTGTAATATTACTGTCTGAAATACATTTTTGGGGTTGGGTTCTTCCGCAGTCCCTATGGGAGCTTGTTCCCCCTTAACCTGTGGTGCAAAAAAAAGATATTGCTGTCTTGGTTTTCATTTTCAACGCGGCCAAATCCTGTCCAACGATGCCCGCCCTCTTCTCGGACCACACGTTCCGGCATTACGCTTATCTTCGGGACAGCCTCTCTCACCTCGTCCCTCCTTTAAGAGTAAGTTGGATATTTAAGTAGAAGTAACCATGTCTGTTCTGATCCCTTCAAAGTGATGGCAGTTACCTCCATTTTTTTTGTCTATCCTTGGCTTTTAAGATTTAAGGCAAATAGGGAGACTGGTGGGACGTGGTGGCACTGCGGGTTCAACCACAGAAGCCTCTGTACTGCAAGGTCAGGAGACCAGAAGATCGTAAGATTGAATCCACGCGATGGAGGGAGCTCCCGTCGCTTGTCTCAGTTCCTGCCAACCTAGCTGTTTGAAAGCATGTAAAAATGCGAGTAGATAAATAGGTGCCACCTTGGTGGGAAGGTCATGGTGTTCCATGTCTATTCACGCTGGCCATGTGACCATGGAAACTGCCTATGGACAAACGCTGGCTCTATGGCTTGGAGACGGGGATGAGCACTGCGCCTTAGAGTCGGACAGGACTGGACTAAAAGTCAAGGGGAACTTTTACCTTAAGGAGACTGCATGTCACCTCTCCGCGGCTGTGCATCATTCTGCAGCAGAATACCGATACGGTGGTGCCTCGCAAGATGAATGTAATTCATTCCACGAGAAGCGCTGTCTTGCGAAAAAATTGTCTTGCGAAAAGCAGTTTCCCATAGGAATGCATTCCTATGGGAACCTCGCAAGACGAATGAATTTTTTTCGTCTTGTGAGGCATCGGTCTCGGGGGGAAAAAAACGCATCTTGTGGAGCAGTGCCATAGAAGAAGCCGTCTTGTGAAGCACCATAGCGATTGCAAAAACCAATCGTCTTGGTTTTTCGTCCTGCGGTGCATTCGTCTTGCAAGGCACCACTGTACCAGAAAGCAGAAAAACCCTGCCTGTTTCTTAATTTTGAATGTCGTGAGTGACAGATTTCAATACTGCAAGAATGAAATGGGTTGGGGGCCTATCTGGCTGTGGAGCTAAAGGTTGGGCGTTCGATTCCCCACGGGGCCTCCTTGACAGGAGGTGGACGTGATGATCCATAGGGTTCCTTCCAGCTCTGCAGTTCCAAGATTAGAACTTCTGGATAGCTCCGTGGTTTAGGCCTCTGGCTGTGGGGCCAGAGGTCGGTCATTTGATCCTCCACAGCCTCCTCCTCTCCTGGCAGCCCACCCCCTTCCCACGGCCCTCATGGCCTCCCTATGTGCTCCTGTTGCTGCCTTCTGCGCATGTGCCCACCTATCCGTTGTGCGGTAGGCCCATGCACAAAGGCAGCAAAACCGGCTTCCAGGTCGTGGCAGCAGGACTAGGCATGGAAGATGGGAGAGAGGAGATTCTAAATGGGAAACGTACATTGCAGAATTTTGACAGCATGGGACCTGTGTGGCGAAGGGGTTCCTTACTCCAGCTCTCCTTCTGTCGTTTGCGTAGCTGCCTGGGAGAAAGCTGGCCTCCTCCACTGTGTCTGCCAGCCTCCCCCTCCAGGAAGACCCTTCCCAGGAATTCCTGCAGCAGAGTCTGGAAAGAGTGTACCATCTTCAGCACCTAGACCCCCAAGGGACGCAAGAGCTGCTCGAATTCACCATCCGGTAAATATTGCAGAAAGGAGGAGAGTGGGACGACCCTTTGGCCACGTGCAGGACTCTTTATAGGGAAAGCATGGTTTGTGTTGAAGGGTGGGCCACCCCATTGTAGCCCCCCCCAGGAGGCCCAAGTCTTCTAATACCCCCAACATAGGTGTTAAAGAAGGGGGGGGGACTGTAGCAAACGTTCTTCATGGATGAATTTAGATTGGTTTTGGAAACCTTCTGGTGCCTGCCCTCCTTTTTAAAAAGTCTCCAGAATGGCAGAGCAGCTCTCCAGGGCCTGGATGGAGGGAATGTTTGGCATTTAGACTTACTGAAATGTGCCCCCCCATTGCCAGTTCATGCTAACCATGTTTTGTTGCTAAAGTTGCAAATTACACAACAGACAACAAAACAAACCAGGATTTACTGTATTTTTCCGTATATAAGACTATACTTTTGTCCAAAATCTTTAGACTATAAATTAAGGGTCGTCTTATACATGGAAGTAAGCCGAGGAGAGAACAAAAACAAGTGGAGGGGAAAGCAGGGATCAAAGCGATCCTGCAGCACTTTGATCCCTTTCTCCCTACACTTACTAAGCCCCACTTAGATTTATTAATTTTGGATTAGAAAAGTGGGGGCATCTTATACATGAGGGTGTCTTATACATGGAAAAATACAGTATCTTCTCTGTCTTCTGGTTTGTTTCTGTTCTTCCCCTTTTGTCGTCTTCTGCTTCAGGAAGTGGGCAGCTGGAGAAACAAGATACAGACAAGCCATAGTTGCTAGTTTGGGAGTGACAACAAACCATGATAGAAGCAGGCCAGAATCTGTAAGCCTGTAACAAACCATGGCTTCCGATTGTGGCTTGTTAGCAGAGGCCGGTACAATCCTCTCAGCAATCCGGGTCCAAACGCCATATACCATTGTGACTTCTGAGCACAACATGTGATGTTGACTTTCAGGTTCCTTTGGCGTTTGAGCTCTTGCAACTTTTCAAAAAGGCATCATTCAGGAGACTGAGTATGTGTGTGTCCAGCCATAGACACCCATGACGGATGCACAAACCTTGAAATTTCAATTACAGGCGATGTTGCTCTTTGCACTGCTGTAGTATTTTGGGTCTGTTGAAGTGGAGTAAGGAGCTGGGCTGGAAGTGAACATCATTTGTGTCTTTCTAAGACCAGTTCCCCTCCTGCTGTTGATGTCCGTTGCCCTGCCGTCTTGTAGAAATGGGGGAAAGCTGTGCAGAGGCGCAAGTAGAACTTCCAATTTCCACTGATAAAAACTTCCCCATAGAAAGCGATTGAAGTAAAGGGCAACCCTGTGGTCCAAACAAAATAAAATCCAAATGTAAAAATAGGCAATGCCCTTATAGACCACTAAAAATCGTCACACAATAAACCAAGCTTTCGTGAATTAACAGTTTATCAGGATTATACCAGTGTGAAGAACTGAAAAGTCAAAACTTAAAAGTTCAAAAGGACACGGCAAGATGTTTTATTTTTGGCAGGAAAGCTCATTATTGGAAACGTTTGTAGTTCAGAATCTTGCATTCCTTTGCAACAAGCTCCATGCTTGAAGGTCAGAAGTCTCTTTCTTGAGATGACCTTTTTTCAGTGTTCCTTATTTTTTTTTTAACAAAAGTGAAAATAATGGACACAGCCCCCAGTTAAACTCTCAGCACATGACCAGATGCCATTTCCCTGTTCCACTTGTGCAGGGCTTAGACAGGAGCAGATAGGCTTTCTTGAGCATGTGCAAGGAAGGAGCATGTTCCTCTCCAAGCACAGTCCCTACTGAAAACGAGGGATCCATCTCTGGCTTATTCAGCATCGTGGAACATAGCAGGTAGATTCCAGCCAAGAGGTGCGTGAGATCCCTAGATCTTTCCAAGAGTTGTTAACATTTCTGGACACTTCCATGTCTTGATTCATTCCTGGGAATGTGTCAAAACGTTGGTTGCTTAGTATGATTGATTCACGAACGCTTATTGTGTCAACCATCTCTCAGTAACCAAAAGTGCTTCTCCACTGCTTTCTGTTCTTAAGGGATCTTCACAGTTTCGGAGAGCTTCAGTCTGAACTGGCTGGGATGGCAGACTTCTCTGCCGCTTACCTGCGATGCCAGCTCCTTCTCATTAAGGTAGGCCTCTCTCTCGAAATATGCCCAGGTAGAAATACACCTGTCACTGGACTGCTCATGGCAATTTACAAAGTGATGTTCTGGCTCTTGAAAAGAAAGCCGAGAGTAACTAAGTTTGAAGGCTTTGAAAATGGAATTTGTGCTTCCCTTTTTTCCCTCCCCGGTAGGGAAACTTCTTTGCTTGCTCACTGCGAAATTGGTGATTTGTAACTCCTAATGGCAGCACAGCACAGAAAGTTTAGGGTTTGCAAACGATAGATTAGCAAATAGCATGGGGACTGAATGTATTAGCTAGGTGCTTGTCTCAGCAGCTTCTGGAGCTGTGGCAGTCGCTGGGTCTGCAAAAAAATCTAGTTTTTTTCAGAGACTTCCCCCTCTGTTGCAAATTGGATGTATGGTTCCTAAAACTGCAGGTAAATGGATGGACACTTGGGGGTCAAAACAGACATTACATCAATAGAGCCAGAGCTCCTTTAAGTGGCCGAAATCCTTCCATCTGAGTGAAATTTTCAGCTTTGCATATTGCAAATTGATTTGCTTTTGCTGAATGTCCAGTGTTATTTATTTGCATTTTGAATGTGCAGCCACAGCAGCTTTGAAGATTGCATCTTTTCCTGGACCCTTTGTGCACGGCAGGAGAGGACGCTGAACACCTTCCATATGTGTTGTCTCTGACACATTTTTGGGATCACTTGGCAGGACATAGTTCCAAATAGAGTAGTCCTAGAACGAGCTGGAATTGTTAGCATGTATACATTACTGACACAGTGACGTCTATGTTGGCTTGGGCATGTCGTGAGAACGGCTGATGGTCGGATTCCAAAAGATCTCCTGTATGGAGAAATTAGTGCAGGGAAAACACCTCAGAGGGAGACCACAGCTGTGATACAAGGACATCTGCAAGTGGCCTCTGAAGGCCTTAGGAATGGACCTCAACAGATGGGAGACCTTGACCTCTGAGCGTTCAGCCTGGAGGCAGGCGGTGCATCACGGCCTCTCCCGTTTTGAAGAGACCCTTGTCCAGCAGGCCGAGGCCAAGAAGCAGTCCTGAAACCAGCAAAATTGGGGAACTGGACAGGGGACAGATTGTATTTGCATTCAGTGTGGAAGGGATGGTCACTCTCAAATTGGCCTTCTCAGCCACACTAGACGCTGTTCCAAATCCTCCATTCAGAGCATGTTACCATGGTCTCTTGAGACTGAAGGATGCCTAAATCTAACATTCATAGAAGTGCTTAGTCTCAAGGACTTTCAGGCAGCTTCTCTGCACCCTCCAAGTGTGTTGTACCAGAGCTTACCCTCATTCTTCACCAGCATGGGTGATGGGAATCATAACACAGCACATCTGGATGGTACCAGGCTGGTAGCAGTTGTTCTAAAAGAAACCCAAGGTTGAAGCTAGCATGCTTCCAAATGCCCATTGTCATCAGGCCTTGCTTGTGGGCCTCCCAGAGGCATCTGGCTAGCTGCCGGGGGAAGCAGAATGTCAGACTATTTTCAGCTTTTAGGCTGTTGTTGCTCTTAACATGCTAAAGAGGCTACAGCTCTGTATAGCAGGCATATTGAATTTATTTATTTATTATGGTGACCAGCTCATAAAACTTATTATGTGGCTAACATATACAAAATGCAGTTTAAAAATGTACAATCAGTTCATAAAACATATTATCGTATTTTTCCATGTATAAGACTATACTTTTGTCTAAAGTCTAAGCCTTAGCAAAAGGAAAGCAGGGATCAAAGCGCTGCAGGATGGCTTTGATCCTTGCTTTCTCCTCTGCTTACTAAGTCCCATGGGGCTTAGCAAGTGTAGGGGAAAGGATCAAAGCAATCCCATGGCTGTATAAGGGGGAAAGGGATCACCTTCATGCAGTTGTGGGGTTGCTTTCATCCCTTCCCCTCTTCTTTTGCTAAGCCCCATGGGGCTTAGCACAAAGGGAGAAAGCAGGGATCAAAGCAGTCGTGCAGTGCTTTGATCCCTTTCCTCCTGCACTTGTTAAGCCCCACTTAGATTTCTTAATTTTGGGTTAGAAAAGTCAGGACGTCTTATACATGGGGGCATGGAAAAATATGCATGGAAAAATACAGTATGTGGTTAAAATATACAAAATGCAATTTAAAAAGTGTACAGCCAGGTCATAAAACATATATGGTTAAAATATACAAAATGTAATTTAAAAAGTGTACAACAAATGATTAATTGTATACTGGTTGTAAAATATGGGGAGAATCAAATACAGCATTTTAGCAGGCATATTGGCTGAAGGGGTTCTCAGAGCTGTAATTCAAAAAGCTTATGGTGAAGTTCCTCTTGGTGATTTATGTTCGCGTAAGAGAAATTGCACACCAGTGCTACCCATTAACATGGTGCTGGCTGCATTCATGGGCATGTGCCAGACCACACATTCAATTGTGTGACCAAATTGGACAGTCGGGGAGCATGCCCAGGAACGCAACCAGCCCCTCTATGATGTGTGCCAAGTTTCCACCAGGACTCAAGCAGTGTCTTGCATAGCTATAAATAATGTGTAGGATTCTGACCATTGTTCCCAAACTCTGTTCAGGCCAAAAGCCAAATCCTAAACTTTTCTCTCTTCTCTCGTCCAAAATGTGGAGGTACTGCAGTTAGTTTGTGTGTTTCCTGCAGGCCCTTCAGGAGAAGCTGTGGAACGTAGCGGCCCCCTTGTACTTGAAACAGAACGCTCTGGCATCAGCGGCAGCGAAGCAGGTAAAGCGGGGTGGGTGGGTGTGCTTGGGTAGAGGATGATAGAAGACCTCTTACTTCAACAAGGCAGGGGGCTCTGCTGTGTAGCTGGAGGAAGACAGGAAAACAAATAGCCTTCCGGGCTTTACAACCAGCAAGCTCCAAGCTAACAAGGAGGAAAGGCTTCATTTCAGAGCAAGCCTGTAAATGAATCTCCAGTGAATTCAAAGGAGGGCACTGAAGCATTTGTCAGTGTCTGTCAGAAGCGACTGGCTCACGGCCGGCGGCCTCTTGCTCTAGAGACTCTGGGGAAACGCAGTGTAAGCTGTCGAATCTCCAATCTTGACTGCATTGCCTTTTCCAAGACTACGATACAGATTCCATTTTTTCATGACATCAATTGAGCAGTTTTCCCCCGGTGGAAACGGATGTTGATGCATGAAGGCCAATTTGCTGTCATCTGGATTTGCATACATTATAGTGTCATGATGACTTAGGCTGTAGGGAAAGAATATGTGCACATGCTGGAATTCTGCAGGCACGTTAAGAAGCTCAGAATTTAGCATTCGGGAGGCCTTCACTGAAAAGCAGGAATGCCTATTTGTAACCTATATGGTAGCAGAGACATGTTGGAAACACCAGGATCCTGTTGCTGCGCTCAGAATTTAGCATTCGGGAGGCCTTCATTGAAAAGTGGGAATGCCTATTTGTAACCTGCATGGTACAGAGACATGTTGAAAACACCAGGATCCTGTTGCTGTTTTTATGCATGGATAAGTGAAATCTCCTAAATTGTGTTGTGTTGAAATAACGTATGCATGGATAAGTGAAATCTCCTAAATTATCGTGAAATAACACTAATTCCACTCTTGGTTGCACACCTAGTCACATGATGGGTATGTAAGAAGAATGCAACTGGCATCTCATTAATTAGCAGCAATTTCCCACTGCAGCTTTTGAGAATTCACTTACGCACGCTTAAATCACCAAATAAGATTCTGGCCAGAATGTGAGAAAGTGACTTTTCTGGTGTACATCTGCAAGACTCTCACACCTAGCCGGCAGTCCAGAGCAATAACATTTCCAAGCAGTCGTTACAGGACTGTGAGTTCAGAGTACAAATGATTAGACTCGGGATGTTCTCTAAGACGCCTGTTCGTTTGATGAGTTCCAATGAACTTTTCTCTGATTTAGTGGGGTTTGGGTTGGTTGGGGATAGTCTGAAGCTTTGCCCTCTTCTAAAAGAGAGTAGCTGGATGGGAAATCTGCCAGGACTGAAAAACCAGGTGCTGCTTTTTGGTCTAGATCATGGAAGAAACATACAAGATGGAGTTCATGTACAGCGGCGTGGAACACAGACAGGTGGTCATCATCCACCACATGAGACTGCAGGCAAAAGCGCTGCAACTGATAGTAACGGTGCGAACTACAAGAGGGTAAGGGGCCTTTTTTTCCATCATGATACAGAGCAGCTGCCCTTTGGATGAAAGATAAAACTAGCCAAAGGTGAATAGCGTTGCCGGCCATGCAGAGTCCAAAGCGTGCGGGATATTTTGGATCTCTAGCAATGTAGGTGAGTTTTGACCGTGGACTCGGATCTGAGCAGGGTGGTATTGCTGCCTCCATCCTTACCTGGAAGTAGACTAGCTCCTTTGGCATTTGCCCCCTAGGGTGACTCACCCTTCCTTTATGCTCGAAATCTGGTATGAATAGTTTCCATTTGCTTTTATGGCACCGACTGTAATTTTGCTCCCATCTAGAATATAAAAATCTGTGGGACTCAGTCATGTTGACAGCCAAGCCCCATTCATTTCAGTGGGTCTGCTCTCCTTAGAAACCAGAGTTGGATTTTAGCCCGTGGGAATGATTTGTAACTTAAAATTCGTTCCAAAATCCATGCGAGTATAATCCTGTATTAACAGGCCAACCGAAAGCCTTTGCAATGTGCACAAGCCCGTTCGATGGTTTTAATTAAAGGCGCCAATATGGCTTTTGACCTTTTCCTTATGATCAACATGTCTGCCTTTTGGCTTTTTTATTAAAATCAATTGAAACTTCAAAGACCTACCCACTGTATCCATAAAATAAGCATTGATAATTTTCATTACAGAGTGGAACCTCTGTTTGGGATGTGTGAGAAGTTTTTACAAGAAGTGGACTCTTTTCAGAGGTACGTTTTTCTTGGTTTTGGGTTTCCTCGAGCTTCCGTTTATCCACCTAAGCCATGTGCAGTTCTCCCGCCCCCCCCCAAAAAAATAATGGTGAGGCAATGAAACTGGTTCTGGCCTGCAGCACTTTGGACCTATAAGTGGGGAGCTCACATGCCCCTCTAAATGAACAAATCAACCATTTCACACCCCAAACTAGTAATTCAGTCCAGACCTGGTCTGCTTTTTGGCTTATTCACTTCCCATGAGCGTGGATTTCTCTTGTCTCTTTTTTTATGATCTGTGTGGTCCCTGCCTGTGCAGCTGAGATCAGGGCTTGGAGACGTTCCTCCTTCGTCCCGCAGGAGCTCGAAC